GTTGCTTCAGAAAGGAAAGGAAGATGTGAGTGAGTTGCACAAACTTGGAAGTAGCATGTTCAGTTTTACCTGAGCCCTCTTGTCCAGAGCCTCATCTCTTAGCCCCTAACCATATATAAGGCTGATGTCCATTCGTGCCCAGGAAAGATGAAATGAAACGGGATCGCATAGAATTGTCTGTACTATTCTGGGTTCTTAAAATGTGCCACTAAGTATATCTTATAGATGTGGCTTTCTTTTATTTTCTCTTAATCTGTTTTCTGTCTCCCTAGTTTCCTTGAACAGAATGTAAAAATTATAGAGCAGTATCATTGATATCACTTGCAAGTAAAATGTCGCTGAAGATCATTCAACAACTATTGGGACAGTACATTGACAGGGAGCTGCCAGAAATTCAAGTCAGATTCAGAGGAGGATGTGGAATAAGGGATATCATTGCTGATATCAGATGAATCTTGGCTGAAACCAGATAATATCAGAAAGATGTTAATTTGTGCTTTGTTGACTGTGTAAAGACATTTGACTGCGAACCATAACCATGCGTAGCCATAAGCATGGGAATTCCAGAACACTTAATTGTCCTCACGCAGAACCTTACCTGGGTATGCAAAGAGAACAAAGGCATACTCGCTCGTTTAAAATCAGGGAAGCTGTGTATCAGAATTGTATCCTCTCACTGTACTTATTCCATCTGTATACTGAGCAAGTAATCAGAGAAGCAGAAACAGATGAAGAAGAGCATGGCATGAGGGTTGGAGGCAGGCTTGTTAACAACCTTCAATATAGAGATGACACAATCTTGCTTGCTGAAAGTGACGAGGACTTGAAGCATTGCTGATAAGGATCAAGGATTGCAACTTTCGATATGGATTACAATTAAATGTAAAGAAGACCAAAATCCTCACAACTAGACCAATAGGTAACATCACAATGAATGTAGAAAAGATCGAGGTTGTCGAGGATTAATTTAGCTTGGATGCACAATCAGTGCATCAATGGAAGCAGCAGTCAGTCTGCACAACAGCTCTTAAAGTGTTGCTAAGCAAGTTGTTACAATCACCTCATGTGCGTGTGGAAGTTGGACACTGACCAGGAAGACCATTGGCATTATGGGGTGATGACAAACATTATGGGGTGGTGACGTGCCATGGGTTGCTGAGAGAAAGAACAAATGGTCTTGGAAGAACAGCCAAAAGTCTCCTGCGAAGTGAGGTTGGTGAGATGTAATCTCACGTACTTAAGATTTGTTCTCAGGAGAGACCTGTCCCTGGAAAGGACACCAGGCTTGGTAAAGTAGAGGGACAGCAAAAAAAAAAATATGACAATGACGACCTTGGACAAGATGGATTGACACAGTGGCTGCAACGAGGGCCTCAGATATGACCATTGTGTTTTGCTTTGTTGTACACAGGGTCGCTATGATTTGGAACTGATTTGAAGGCACCTAAGAGCAACACATTTCCTTTTATTGCTGAATTTTTGTCATGTTAAGCTGCCCAAGGATGTGTGAAATCAGGGGTAACCAAAACAACCCATTACTCCCTAATCCATTCCAGGTTATGGAGGTTATCGCCCCATAGGTCTTTCAAATGTTTTTTGAAATCACTGTAAATATTTTTTCTGTGACGCAGCTGGTGGATTTGAACCAGTGACCTTTTAGTTAATAACTGAGTGCTTTGCTGTACCAGCAGGGCCCCACCTTTTAGTTAATAACTGAGTGCTTTGCTGTACCAGCAGGGCCCCTTGAAGTCAATGGTAGCTTGAAAACCATCTCTTTCCCTATTGCCTTCATTTTCTAAACCAAACATAATACCACCGAGTCCATTCTGACCCATAGCAACCTTATAGGACAGGGTTGACCTGCCTCTGGGCCTCCCAGACTATAAATCTTACGGGTGTAGAAATCCTCATTCTTCCGTGGAGCTGCTGGAGCTGCTTCGCCACCAGAGCGCCCTTCATTTCCTAAGGAAGAAGAAAATCCCAATGCTTAGTATGTACATCTTTGATGGTAAAGCATTTAACTTAAAACTTAGTTTCTTTCTTCAAAAATAAAGTCTTACTAGGAGAGAGTAGGGCAAGCTATGGGGGGTTTCTATTTATAGCTTAAGTTGTAGAACACAAAATTGATTATCTGAAATGTAAACCTCCACCTAATTCACATAAAAAATAGTTAACAAGTTTTATAGGTGAATAAAATCTCACTGTGCTTGTAAAGATGGCTGAAGTGGCCAACTGTTTTGTTAACTATTCACCACAAGTAAATATAAGTAACAATCTTGCTTCAAATCCCAACAACTTTCTTTACTGAAATGGAAAAAACGAATTTTCCAACTTTATATGGAAAGGAAGGCGTCCCCAAAGAACTAAAGCAAAATTAAAGAACAGAGTAAGACCTTTCAGGCTTCCTGCTCTCAAAACTTATATGGCCACGATAATCAAAACTGTCTGTAAACAAACAAACAAAAACATATTGTTGAGAATGAGGCTGGGTGGAGCAGAGACCCAAAGCCTATCTGGAGACAATAGAACAGTCCCCCCACAGAGGGGCCACAGGGAAGGGATGAGTCAACCATGGCGCAGGTAAAGCATTGATGAAACACACTATATTCATCTGGTTCCTTGAGGCTTCTTCACCCCCCACCACCGTGACCCCAGTGTTGCTTCTTAATTCAGATTAGACCAGAACATGTATACAGATATAGAGGCCTCACGACACAGAATCCAGGAACAGGAGAGGGAATAGTGATAGGGAGAAAGGGGGAACTGATCACAATGATCAGTGCATAGCCATATACCCTTCTCCAGAGAGAAGAACAACAATAAACGGGGGAAGGGAGACAGCAGTCGGTGTGAGAGATGAAAATAATAATTTATAATCTATCAAGGGGTTATGAGGGTGGCAGGGGGTGGAGGAAAAGGGAAAAAAAGCGGAGCTGATACCAAGGGCTCAATAGAAAATAAATGTCTAGAAAAGAATGAAGGCAGCATATGTACAAACATGCCTGATGCAATCTATGTGTGGATTGTGACAAGAGTGTAAGAGTCCCCAATAAAATGGTCTTTTAATAAAAAAACAGTCTGTATGGTACCAATACTATGACAGACGGGTAGACCAATGGAATAGAATTGAGAAGTAACATCTATCTATCCACAGAACACTGATACTCAGCAAAGGGTCAAAGTCCATTCAATGAGGAAGAAACAGTCTCTTTAACAAATGGTGCTGGCAAAATTGGATATCCATATGCAGAAAAACGAAATGGGATCTATACTTCACACCAACTCAAAGTAGATCAAAGACTTAAATGTTAAAGCTAAAATTATAAAATTCCTGGAAGATAATATAAGGTCAACATTAAGGAGCCTAATTTTTAGCATGAACAGCGTATCAAACAAAACTGAAAAATGAATGAATGACAGAAAATCAAAGAGATAACTTGGACTTCCTAAACACTAAGACATTATGTTCATCAAAAGACTTTTTCCAAGAGAGTAAAAGAAGAACCTACAGGCTGGGGGGGAAAGTCTTGATTTTTTTTCTTTGATCTCTAATAAGGGACTAATCTGTAAAATATAAAGGAAACTCAAACAACAACAAAGAGACAAAAAATCTAGTAAAAAAATTAGGTGAATTGGACAAAGGACATGAATAGATAGTTCACAAAGGAACATTCAGGGGCTAACAAATATACACACAAAAATGCTCTCCATCATTAGCTATTCTCATTGCCATTGAATTGTTCCAACTCATAATAACTTTCTAGGGTATAACTCTCTAGGGAAGAGTAGAATCGCCCCTGTGGGTTGCTGAGGCTATTCCAAATTCATTGCCAACAAGTCATTTCTGACTCATGGTGACCCTATAGGACAGAATAGAACTGCCCCTGTGGGAGTAGAAAGTCCCAAGAGAGCCTAGTGGTTTCAAGCTGCAGACCTTGTGGATTGCAACCCAATGCATAACCACTACACCACCTTGGCTCCTCCCTTCAGAGATATTAGATAAAAAATTAGAATGAACTATCATCTCACCCATACAAAAATAGCAATGATTGAAAAAAAAGAAGAAAGAAAACAGCAAATGTTGGCTGGGTTGTGGGGGTATTGGACCTCTTTTAGCATCACTAGTTGTGTTAGTCTAGGTACTTTAGAGAAACAAATCCACAGAAGCTCATGTATAAAAGAGAGTTTTATATAAAGGGTAAGTGCACATCAAGAAAACATCCCAACCACTGCTGCCCAACCCCACAAGTCCCGCATTAATCCATATGTCCAACACCAATCCACGAAGTCCTCCTCCATCTCACAAAACACACACTATGATGCCAACTGCAGGAGGAGAGCCGAATCGGTGAATGTGTAAGCATCTCAGCGCTGACAGGGGTCTCCACACGGGTACTCCAGCACCCAGGGCTGCATGGGGGTAGGTCCATGCAGCTTCTCCTTGAGGATGTCTGACAGGAAGTGAGCCTTGCCAGCTGAAGCAGAGAACTGGCTAAGGCAGCTGTACCCTGGTTCAACCATCACAAAGCAAGAGACCCGAGAACTGGAAAGGCGAGACTCACTGAGCCATTTATCCCTCCACCCTTCAATTAAAGCCCACATATGTTTATCGGTCAGGTTGGCACAATCAACTTTAACTAGTGGTAGAGGAAACTGGCAAAGCAAAACAGATGGTTCCTCAAAAAGTTAGGGATAGAAATACCTTATGATCCAGGAATCCCACTTGTAGGTATATTTCCCATAAATATAAGAGCAGAGATTCTATTTATTTTATTCATTCACCAAATCATTGTTGTGCACCAATTGTGTGCCAGATACTATTCTGGGCCTTAGGAATATGGTGATGAACAACACATGGTGACACAATATATCAATTAGTAAATACGAATAAATTAATGTATTAGGATTAGTATAATATAAATAAATTCATGGTGGTTTGTTTTTAGATACCATATTGTCAGTGTGAATAATCTGGACCTATTTGCTTTTTTCCCTTTTAGCTAAGAAGTCCGCTGGTCCAGTTTCTCAACATGAAAATCATCAAGCAATCTCTCACCTTTCAACTGGGCAGCCGCTCTCCCAAAATATGGCTCTAGGTAGGAACTCTTATTTTCAGAGTTCTACTTGAAAATAATAAATAATTTTAAGTAATAAAACATGCCAGCAACCACGAGGTGTCGAAGGGATCAGGTGTAAGGCATCATCAGAACAAAAAATCTTACCATAGTGAATGATGGGGGGAGTGCAGAGTGGAGATCCAAAGCCCATTAGTAGGCCACTGGAGATCCCCTTGCAGAGGGGTCTCGGGGAGGAGATGAGCCAGTCAGGGTGCGATGTAACAATGATGAGAAATACAACCTTCCTCTAGTTCCTAAAGGTTTCCTCCCCGCTCCCACTACCATGACTCGAATTCTATCTTGCAAGACTGGCTAGACCAGAGGAGGTACACTGGTACAGATAGGAACTGAAAATACAGGGAATCCAGGACGGATGAGCCCTATAGGACCAGTGGTATGAGTGGCAAAACAGGGAGGGTAAAGGGAGAATGGGTAGGAAAGAGGGAACCGATTACATGGAACTGTGTGTGACCTCCTCCCTGGGGGACAGACGACCAAAAAGTGGATGAAGGGAGACGTGGGACAGGGCAAGATATGACAAAATACCCATTTATAAACTATCAAGGGCTCATGCGGGAGGGGGGAGCGGGGAGGGAGGGGAAAAATGAGGACCTAATGTCGGGGGTTTCAACGGAGAGAAAATGTTTTGAGAAACGATGTACAAATGCGCTTTACACAATTGATGTGTGTATGGATTGGGATAACAGTTGTATGAGCCCCTAATAAAATGTTAAAAAAAAATAAAAAATAAAATAAAACATGCCATTTAGCAGCATGGTAAAGTGCTGTCCATTCCAATTAGTGTTATATATTTTTAAATCACTAATAAGAGCTCAGGAAGATACCGTCTTTGTAAAGAGTAGAACGTTTGTACTGACACTCTGGACTGCACGCCCTTCATTTTGAGTCCCGCTCTATACTTTTACTTATCTTAAATGTGTTCAAATTTATCTTAAAAAGTCTTTGATGTTATACTCACTACCAAATATATATGGTATTTCTATTTTCAACCTTTTTTTATTCTTATAAATCTTTCCAGCAGAATACCTATTCAATTTTTTAAAAAATCATTTTACCGGGGGCTCGTACAACTCTTATCACAATCCATACATCATTTGAATCAGGCATGTTTGTACATATGTTGCCCTCATTCTTTTCTAGACATGTACTTTCTATTGCACCCTTGGTATCAGCTCTTTCACCCCCTCCTCTGTCCCCCCCACCCTCATAACCCCCCGATAGATTGTACATTGTTAATATTTTCATCTTTCACACCGACCACTGTCTCCCTTCCCTCATGTTTTCTGTTGTTCTTCCCCCTGGAGAGGGGTGTATGGTTATGTGTCGATCATTGCGATCGATTCTTCCTTTCTCCCTTCCTCTCTCTCTCTTCCCCCTACCCTTCTGGTATCACTATTCCCACTCCTGTTCCTGGATTCTCTGTGTCATGAGCTCCCATCGTTTCTATACCTGTGTACATGTTACAGTCTAGTCTGAATTGAGAAGCCGCACTGGGGTCATGGCAGTGGTGGGTGAGGAAGCCTCAAGGAACCAGAGGTATATAGTGTGTTTCATCAATGCTTTTACTGTACCCTGGTGACTCATCCCTTCCCTGTGGCCCCTCTGTGGGGAGATTGTTCCACTGTCAACAGATGGGCATTGGATCTCTGCTCCAGCCCCCCTCATTCTCAACAATATGTTTTTGTTTGTATGTGTCTGCTGATGTCTTTTACCCGGTCCCTATGACTCCTCATGTTTGCACCGGTGGTGTGCTTATTCCAAGTGGACTTGTGGCTTCTCATGATCACACCGGTGGTGTGCTTCTTCCATGTAGACTGCTGAATGGCAGCTTGTGTAACTTCAAGCCTTTAAGACCCCAAGCATGATATCTTTTAATAGCCAGGCACCATCCGCCTTCTTCACCACATTTGCTTATGCACCCATTCTGTCTTCAGGGATTGTATCGGGAGGATGAACATCTCAGACTGCCGATTGGTTAGAACAAAGTGTTCTTTTATTGAGGGAGGATATGAGCAGAGGTTCAAAGTCCATCCCCTATCTCAGTGTATTGCCGTATAAATATATGTACCCCGCTCCCACTACCATGACTCGAATTCGACCTTGCAAGTCTGGCTAGAGCAGAAGATGTACACTGGTACAGATAGGAACTGAAAATACAGGGAATCCAGGGCGCATGAGCCCTACAGGACCAGTGGTGTGAGTGGCGAAACAGGGAGGGTAAAGGGAGAATGGGTAGGAAAGAGGGAACCG